CTACGACACCTGATGAGCGAGAACGCATGGATCGGATTCCATATGCTTCGTCAATTGGATCTATCATGTATGCCATGCTTTGTACTCGACCGGATGTATTCTACGCGTTGAGCATTACGAGTAGATACCAGTCAGATCCAGGTGAGTTGCACTGGATCACCGTCAAGAACATCCTGAAGTACTTGAGAAGGACTAAGGATGTATTCTTGATATACGGGGGTCGGAAGATGAGCTCGCTGTAAAGGGTTACACCGATGCTAGTTTCCAGTTAGACCCTGATGACTACAGATCGCAGTCTGGTTATGTTTTCTGTTTGAACGGAGGCGTTGTTAGCTGGAAGAGTTCCAAGCAAGCGACCGTTGCAGATTCTACTACGGAAGCTGAGTATATTGCAGCGTCGGACGCAGCAAAGGAAGTTGTTTGGATCAGAAAGTTTATTGGTGACTTGGGTGTGATTCCTAGCGTTGATAGCCCCATTGCTCTGTATTGTGACAACAATGGAGCGAACGCACAAGCGAAAGAACCCAGATCCCATCAACGATCCAAAAACATACTCAGACGATTTCACCTTACCAGGGAGATCATAGACAGAGGAGACGTGCACATTTGCAGAGTGTCGACAGATGACAACATTGTTGATCCGTTGACGAAGCCTCTCCCTTCATCGAAGCATGAGGGTCATGTTAGGGATATGAGCATTAGATGTTTAGTAGTCCATGATTAGAGCAAGTGGGAGATTGTTGGTTTAGTGCTCTATGATGTACTACTACATGAGTTTTATTTAGATACATTTGATGTATTTACACTTTCTATGAGTTTATGGATGAGTGTTTTATTCATTACATGTTTTGGCATACTTGATGTGTTATGATATCCATGTATTGTTGTGAACAATACTAAACTCCCTAGTCATGTATCATTGTGGGAATAATGATATAAAAAGACTAGTATGATGTGTGATTGATGATCATAGAAATGATCATAGGTATTAGATACAATCATGATCATAAGTATTCGTTGGGAAACGGAACACTGGATTGACCCGCATGAGATTGTCACATGGACTAGCTTCATGACTTGAATCTCATATGGCGGTTCCGTGATTGGATCCTAAGACCTGAGATATCTACGGAATCCAACATGAGGAGTTGCGTACTTTGATTACGTCAAACGTCCTGCGTAATAGGAGGACTATAAAGGCGTGTATCAGGTACGAAACGAATCATGTGCTGGATTGTAGATAATCAAGACGGGATTTGTACCTCTCGTAAAAGAGAGAGATATCGCTGGGCCCCTCGTGGGAGCGAGACTATAGAAATATGTGGCCGCACTATAGACGAATGTCGTCTATTTCAGACAGTCGAACTCAGTGAACGAGAAAGCAGTCGAATCAGATAAGGTGGCTTGTTCATGCCTTATGTTCGACATATGATATCGTGATACAAAAGGATCATCAATCGGAATCATCACCGGCATTCGTAAGATCATGAACAAACTCTATTCGAGATAGGTAGTCATAGTGTCTTCTAGAGACCGCCTATGACTTGTATATCCGGAATAGAGATTTCAGGTTATACTGCTATATCGAATGAGCCTACAGGGTCACACACGCAGGGAAGGACAAATGCACGAGAAAACGTCGAGAAACCTGGACACGAGGTCCGGACCATTTGGTCCAGGAGTGGACCGAACGGACCAGAGCATCTAGTCCGAACGGACCAAATTGTTGGACCGAACGGACTAGAGGATCCAGTCCGAACGGACCAAATTGTTGGACCGAACGGACTGACCAGTCCGAACGAACGGACTGTGTTTTGTGCTGGCCCGAACGGACCAAGTGTCCAGACCGAACGGACTACTTAGCAGTCCGTTCGGTCTAGGTTTCAAAATTAATTTTAAAATCCGGAATTAGGGTTAATCACTTTATAGAAAGGAGAATAATAACCCAAATAAGAAGTGGCCGACTAAGAGAACTTTAAGAGACCTTTTTGGAGAGTCTAGAGGGTCGAAGAAGTGATCTAAGTCTCGTTTTCTCAAAGCACATGATCGAATAGAAGATTCGAGTCCTAGCAGACAAGTTCCAAAGGTTGGAATCCATCCCGAGGTGTGGATACGTATAGAGGGCGAGGTATTCTTCTCCCTTTCGTGATCAGACGAATTCTTCAATTGATACTGGCCCAGATCGATTGAGGTAAGCGTTCTAACGTTTCTACGATTCATAGAAGCATGGTTCTAGGGTTTATTAAATTTTTGTTTTACATCCGCTACGCAAACCGTAGAATCGATCTCTTAGGAATATGATTCGCTCTAGAGATACCAGGAAACCCAACACTTAGAGTCTTGGTCCGACAAACCAACATTTGGTCAGCTTCGGACCAAGTCTCTTCTTCGTCCTTGTGGTCCGACGTGCAACTGCCTTTGGTCCGACTGATCCAACATCTGGTCCGGAGCTGACCAACTCTTGGTCAGCCGGATCAGACTTGGATAAATGACCATGGGCTGAGTTCGGGCTTCCTGGGCTGACCAAACGTGGTCTGGGGCTGACCAAACTTGGTCAGCTCTGGACCAACATAGTGAACACTCTTTTTCATGCTCGTTTTGGTCAAATCTCAATTCCTTTCTTCGGATTCTTCACCTATAAGTCTATCCCTAGTGGCGTGTGACCCTGTAGACCAATTCTAAATGGTAATGGATTCGGGAACCTTTCTCGAATCACAAGTCATGGTTAGCCTCTAGTAAGACATCATGACAACCCACCCACCTAGAACTGAGTTAGAGGTGATCTAACTAAGGCATTAACAATTCGAGTTCTGATCCTTTGTCTCACGATATCATATGTTGAACAAGGACATGGTTGTAGCAAACTGACGTTCAACCAGAGATACAAATTATCAAAGTTTAACAGAAGCTTCGAACTTTCCAGCCAGCAAATAAATCCAAGTACCTCTAGAGTAATCGTTGACAATGGTGAGAAAGTACTTAGTACCCGACGAAGATGAATGGCGATATGGCCCCCAAATATCACAGTGGATTAATTCAAAAATTGCAGAAGTTTTATTGCTACTTATCGGAAAAGAGTCGCGACTTTATTTGGCTCGCAAACACACATCACAATGCTTTGTATAATAAGAACTAGTACTAGATAAATCAAAACCAGTAATCTTCGCAAGGGCTTTAGGAGATGGATGACTCAAATGCTTGTGCCACACCTCAAAAAATTGTGTATCCAAAGTCTGAGTTACGACCAAGGTTGCTGCATCACGGAAATAGTATAGGCCTACCCTTTCCTCACCTGCTCCAATCGGAATCTTGGTAGTGCGGTTCTGGATGACACAAAAATTGTGGGCAAAAGTGACAAAGCATGAGTTTTCAGCCAGCAACTAAGATATCGAGATCAAATTGTAGTGTAGACCAGGGGCAAAGAGGACGTTGGAAAGTCGGAGATGTGGACCGAGAATGACTTAACCAGATCCAACCGAGTTTACAGAGTGTTCGTCTAGCTAAATTACCGAACATGGACTGATCTGAGAAATAACAACAAACAGAGACGACGCTCCAGTCACATGTTGCGAACAACCCGTGTCTAAGATCCAGGGAAACATATAATTCTTACCAGAAAGTGTGTCAAAAGCATCAACACGATTTGCATTCAGCATTGCTAGTAAGGTGATCCATTGGTCTGTAGTAATGCCACTGACAAGGTGTTTATCAGCATCTGTAACAGACGAAACATGGGCAGAAGACAAGACCTGCATAGCGTTGACACGAGGAAGAGGCCGAGTAGCCGGAGGAAGTGTTCCCTTGCCACGCGCTGATCTGTTTCTGGGTCGATCACCTCGAAAAAACCGACGCTTTGAAAACAGTTGTCAGCCAAGTGCCTAGTTGGCCCACAGTTCGTGCAGAGCATTGTTTGTCCTTCTTTTCTTGTCCGAGCTTTGGTTTTGCAGCCATTTGAGTGGAAAATGTAGCGAGGTCAGACTTAACTTGATGTTGTTGAGAAGCATGTTTCGTGTCTTCGTCTTGGGTCACGATGTTGTAGGCTTCTTCTTCAAGACTAGGCAGAGGATGACAGGAAAGGAGATTCGATCGCACGGTCTCGTACCGAGTTTCATCAAGTCCTAAGAGAAACTTGTACAACCTGTCTTCGTGTCTTTCATTTTCCAGAATTGTAGCAATGCCGCAGGTAGATCTTCAACACTTGCAGACTTTCAGAGAACAAAAAGTGGTTAAATCATCCCACATTTTGGTCAATTTGCCAAAATACGCTTCGACAGTCATTTTGTGTTGCCTGCAGTTTGCAACTTCGCTTCGCAGCTTAAGGAGACGAGGCGTATTTGCCATGTCGAATCGACGTTTGAGATAATTCCAGAGATCTTTTGCATACTCTCGATGCACAACATCTTATCGAAGAGGAGAATCAAGCGTGTTCTTGATCTAGGAAACGATTAGAGCGTTATTTGTAGCCCAATCCTCATAATTCGGTGAGTCCGTGTCGGGTTTCGGTATTGAGCCATCCACAAATCCAAATTTCTTGCGGGACTTCATGGCTTATCGGATATTGATCGACCCTTCATCATAATTGTCACTTCGCAATGATGTGTACGAAAGGACAAGTCTAGGGGTTGTCACTCGGTGTGAGATCGTACGAAGAAATTGTACACCTAGGGACCACAATGGTGTCAGGTGTCGATGTTGGGATCGCAGTGTGGGGAGTCATAGTCGGGGTCGAGGAAGGTTCTCCATTGTCGAGATTCAATCAAGGTCGATGTCGATTTGCAGGAAGCAACGAAGAACGAGTTTAGTGCGAAATTTTGAGAAGTTCGGGCTCTGATACCATATCACGTATCATAGCCACGAGAAAGGTTTTAGAAAAAAACAGCTTGTCCATTCACAGAGACATCTCGCATATATACAAATTGAGTTCTGACCTACTTTACAGAATATAAAAACAAAGCAAACAAATATGTAATGTACAGACACCATGCATAGTTTACATATCAACAAGATTCAATATATATCCCCTTTAAAAAATGAAACATATGGTAATTAAGCCACCATGCATAAATCATACCGATCTAAGCTATATGGATGGTGAGATGTTAACAACCTTCACTTTGAAAGTGTCTTTGTGTTCAAAGTGGAAATTAAGATAATAAAAATAAGAGAAGGAGAATGAAATCCGGTGAGAATGTCGGCTGAATGCCCTCCCCAAGTGTAGACATCCCAATCTTGGGTACACGGAGAGATCTTTAGTCATTCCAAAGTTTTCAAAAGCCTGAGGAGTGCGGCTGCTTCCCAAACCCGTGAAAACTCAGTGCAGAAGGCCTTGACTTCGGCGAATACATCCTTCACTGTCATCAAAACAAATCAACCATTGATCATACAAATTAACAAAGATAAAACAGTGTTTGAGATTTACTATAAGACAAGCACTCTGTTGGTATCAGAAAAAGAAAGTAAAGGGAAATTCGCATGCACCGTCAATCATTCTTTTGTGAATTAGGCTTTGCAAGAACGCACAAACGAGCCGTACGAGCCTATTCTGCATGTATTTGTCCTGTAAAATCTCATCAACGTTACATTGAATATAAACAAAGAAAGACCGATAATCAATACATGTTACAGCAACAAAAATGCACGGGGAATGGCGATACTAAGTCAGAGCCGTCTATTAGCAGGTTCAATAGGTGCAAAGGAACAGGGCCCTTAATTTTTGGGGCCCCACATTTTAAAAAAATCTTTCTAATTATTATTATCATTAAATATTAATAATTATAGAATTAAATATTTTAAATATAATTAGTATACAAAAAGAAATAAATATTAAATTTCAAAAATTAATTACATTTCAAATTATCAATAGAAATTCAATTTTATTTTTAATATAAAAAATAGTTATATTTATAATAAAACCTTTAAATTTATAGATTTCTTTAAAAAAATTATTATTATTACCATTATATATAAAAAATATTACAAAATTTATTTATTATCATTAAATATTTTTATAGAAATTAATAAATTTTAAAATAAAAAATAATTATTAATTATTAATTGATATATTATATAAATTTATAATTTTTTATATTATTAATTAAATTTAATAATAATATTTTTAAATTATTTTATATAAATTGAACAGGGCCCCGAAAAAGTTTGAGAAAAAGTTTGAGACGGCTCTGTACTAAGTCCACGGAAGACAGCGAGAGAATGCGCATATGAAGCAACAGTACGAAACCAAGGATAAGAGGTTGGATGGATAAAGTTTTTATAATCCAAAATACAAAAAAAATGACAATTAAGTTTTTCTAAATTTAGTTTTCCTAAAAACTTGAAAACCTATTTTGGTGAAAAATCAACTAAAAACCAAAAGTTACATTTTTTTTTTTGGATTTATAAATATATAAAAACCAAAATCTAAGGTTTTGAATGGTGATAATTTTTATTTTGAGTTTTTTGCTTTAGTTTTTGGGTTTTGTTAAGTTTTGGATTTTTAGTTTTTATAACTTTTAAAAAACTTGATTGGAAGATTAATATTTTAATTTCTAGATTTTAGATTATAAATTTAAAATTATCAAAAAGAGTTTTTACACATATGTATAAAGTAAAATTTTCTTTAAAATTATGGGTATTTTTACCTTTTGAATATTTTATATAATTAATATTTAATAAAAAATAAAAAAATCTATTAACAAATGATATTTTTAACTAAAATCTACTCAAAAGTTGTTTTTGGCTTTTATTTGATTTTTAAAAAAAATGGTTTAAGGAATTTTTAGGAAAAAAACAAAAAACAAAATGTTAATTGGATATTTTTTTGGGTTTTTAAAAACCCAAAATTGAAAAAACTCCAAAACGTATAAATTTTGAGTTTTTAACTTTAGGTGGTGATTGTTTAATTTTTAAAATCCAAAAATATATCCAATCAAAATTTTGTTTTTTTTTTTACTTTTTCCAAAAACCCGCTAAACATTTTTTTTTTTTAAAAATCAAATAAAAGCCAAAAACCATTTTTGAGTAGATTTTAGATTTAAAAAAAAAAACCTTTTTCATTTTCTATTAAAGAAAATTTTACTGTATAAAAACTCTTTCTGATAATTTTAAATTTATAATCTAAAATCTAGAAATTAAAATATTAATCTTCCAATCAAGTTTTTTAAAAGTTATAAAAACTAAAAATCCAAAACTTAAAACCCAAAAACTAAAGCAAAAAACTCAAAATAAAAACTATCACCATTCATAACCTTATATTTTGGTTTTTAGATTTTAGCTTTTTATTTTTGGATTACGTAGTTTTGAAAATCCAAAAAAAATGGAACTTTTGGTTTTTAATTAATTATTTCACTAAAAATGATTTTCTAACTTTTTAGAAAAACCAATATACAAAATCTTGATTGCCAATTTTTTTAGTTTTAAAATTTTAAAACCCCCAAAAAACCTCCTCCACTCAATCCCAAATAAAAACCATTACATAGTCTAAATCCAATAGCACACAATACACAAACAATGGTAGAACCAACTGACAACAGAGTCATGCACGAAACAGAGATGATCACGAAACAGAACATGCAGTTTCATTTTCCGTACCTTCGTGTTCTGGCAAGACGACATGCAGTTGCCGATGTACGTGCGCATAAAATCCTTTGGAAGCTCGACCGCTGTCGCGAGCCCCTTCACGACTTCCATCGAGTGCAGGCTCGCATCCATGCTTACAATAGCCGTCAAATATCTGCAAACAAACGAGACGTAATGTTTTCAGAACGTAAAATAAAACCCGACATGGCAGCGGTGACATACTCATCAATCTCCGGAGAGTTGTTCAACTTGGTGAGAATCTCGACCACGGTTTGAGGGTTTTGTTCTACCAGAAGCTGGAAAACAAAGAATGAGATCATCATACGAAAGAAGAACCGACAACACAAAAAACTGCTGGACGATACGTAAGAAATCACATACCGGTAACTCCCCCGGAGTTATTCCGGGGCGAGAAACAGGCTTCGGGTCATCTGCGGACGCCATCTAACAGATGAAAACATATTTCGTCATTCTCCTCGGTCAAGAGATCCAAAAATTCGGAATCGACACCAGCTCAACAAACTCGGTTGATCGATCTATCTATATACCTCGTGCCGTGCAGGTGGAAGCGACCCCTCTAGTGCCTTTACAAGCAAGTCCTTGACCGCTGCGCCTCTGCTTGTATCGGCACACATGCCACGGTCCCGATCATCGGGATCCTGATCCTGCAGCGGCTTTTCATCGGAACAGTCCTTGTCTAGGTGATGAGATGGTCTGGGATCAGTGTTGCTGCGGAACTCTTGTCGCAACTCTTCCAGCTTGGGGAACTCCTATCAATCCACATCACTACTAAATTAAGGCGCTAAGCAAAAACAAAAAAATTCAAGAAGAATTACGATGAAGACAGATGGATTAGCAATACAACAGGAATATATTTGAATCCACACAAGCAGCATCCAAACAAAGACATTGCTATACGTTGCAGCCGTCGGCCTACCTCTCCGCCATTGAAGCGTCGCGTGGGTGGGAACTCGGTAAATTTATAGATTGGTCGGAGGTCTGATGACTTAAGCGACGACAGAACTGCCGCCTTCTCCTCCTCCGTCAACATATGTACCTACGAATGTACCCTGCATATATGATACAAACTGTTTAAGTATTACCAGAAAAAAAAAAAATATATATATATATA